CACAGGCAGTGAAGCAGCAGTGCTAAAAATGAAGTTGCTCCGGCTTCGGAAGCCTCCTAAGACCTTCCCGATGGTTTCCTTCAACATGAGTTAGTAATTTGCTCCAATGCTTTCCTTCATTTTCTTTATCAATTATTAGTACATTCAACTTTCAATTTTTTATTTATTGCAAATAACACATTTTCTTAAAATTACACATTGTTTATTGTTATTAATAAAATAATATAATCACATACAATACAATATCAGAATTTTATTTAAACAAGACTATTACTATAATTTCCCACATATAATCAATCAAAACAGGTTTTATATTGTGTTAGGTTAATATGTGTTTTTTTTTAATTTTAACGAAAAATGTGTTTTAATTTTGTATTAGTTATGTATTTTTAATATTACAGTCTATTATTTATTAAATATATTATAAATAAATTATAAGTTATAAAAAGTCTAATCAGTATACATATGTTACATAAAATTTTTAATAAAAGTTTTAAAAGTAATATTTTATGTAAATATTTAGTTTATGCATAACTGTTTTTTTTNTTTAACGAAAAATGTGTTTTAATTTTGTATTAGTTATGTATTTTTAATATTACAGTCTATTATTTATTAAATATATTATAAATAAATTATAAGTTATAAAAAGTCTAATCAGTATACATATGTTACATAAAATTTTTAATAAAAGTTTTAAAAGTAATATTTTATGTAAATATTTAGTTTATGCATAACTGTTTTTTTTTTAAAAAAAATTAGAGACTATTATGCAACATCAAATATGATATAACTAGGTTAAGATTCGCGCCTTGCGCCGAATGAAAATTGTATATACAAACTATTTATATTGTGTTATTTACATATTATAAAATAAAATAAATATAAATATATTGAATAATTAAAAATTAGTAAATATTATGTATATAATTAAATTAGCGTGCTCACATAAATAATAAAGTCACACTTGTTTATTTACAGTCACTTAATATAAGTAATTCTAGAAAATAAATGATATTAACATAAATATATATATATATATATATATATATATATATATATATATATATAATTTTATGATCATTTGCATAAATTATAACAAAAATTTTAAAGCATTGATAACAATTTTTTTAAACCATTGATAACAGAATCTTTAATATGAGACGTTTCATATTTATAGTGATTCATAATCATTTAAAAAAATCAATTCAAAGTTTGAAATTAAAGTATTAAGTTTCAATATTTTCTCAGTGCAATTTTGAAATTAAAAACTTTATATTTTTTTTATTGTGTATAATTTAATTTAAACATCATTAGAAAATTATATATATATATATATATATATATATATATATATATATATGAATATCTATTAAATGACATTTCCTACTCATTGATTATATAATCGTTTGATCTTGTTATAAAAAAAATTATTAATCACAAAAAATCTAGAGAAATTCCCTTCAATAGCCCTTTTTAATTTATTTTCACAAAAAAAATCTTCAAGGAAGAAAATTACCAAAATATTTTTTTTATTAAAGGGTAAATATACACTTATATCTTTGGATTAACTAATCTAGACTTAGGGTGTAGAGTTAAGGGGTGGAGTTTTGGGTTTAGGGTTTCAAATTTTAAAAAATAAAAACTAAATATTACAAATTTCAAAATAAAAAGGGGCTATTTTGATCATTTTATTTTTTGAGGGTATATAATTTAATTTGAAAATCATTAGAAAAAAATAATATATATATAGTTTTATTTAAAGAAAGAATGAAAAGCATTAATAATAGTTTATAGTTATTTAGTACAAGTATGTTATATGTTTATGTGGACCAATATTTTTTCTAGAAATTTTGAGAAGCATTTTAGTTATGACATGTACCATAGTTAGAATATTGTAATGCTTCTCTTTTAATATATAGGGGATACTATTCACATTCTCATTTTTCTCTCAAAGTGATATACTATTAGAAAGAGATTTCTCACATTTTTTTGATATTTTGCCTCATTTTGATGCACTATTGGAGATACCTAAACATGTTGATGAGTTCCTTCCGAGCTAATACATTCTTCAAAGAAAACGTATATATACTACTTAACTAATATAATAAGTGCCAAAAATATATTAAGATAATATCACTGTGAATATAAAACAAATAATATAATAACAAATTTCTATATATAAAATTTGTATACATAGGAATTATTAATTTATAATTTAATGGGATCATATATTTATATAGAGTTTTCTATATAATTATTATCTTATTATTTTCTATAAAGAATGAAGAGCATTAATAATAGTTTATAGTTATTTAGCTAACATAATGTTTTAAATGTATTATAATGTAAAATGGTAAAAGATTTTATTCATGATATATTGCATTTAAAATCTTTTATTACTTTAAAAGATTGTTTGACAGTTTATATTATAACTCCTTTTGCTATATATATATATATATATATATATATCTTACTTTTTTTTTTTTATATATATATCTTACTTATGTAAGGAAACATTTTTAAGATCTTAAAAAACTATTGAATCAGTATTTGTTGTCTATACAACATCTAACTAAACTAATCTCACACAAGCAGTTTCAGACTCATACCTAAAAGACTAAGATTCAAAGTAATGAATGACTTACTCTAATCTCTATGCTTTGTGCTCTTGTGCAATGCCCCTCGTCTTTAACCTTTCTGCTCAAGTGCTCGAGTTAAGACCCCCCATACATATTCGAGTTGGGCCGTGCCACCACTAGAAGTAAACCCGTAAATTTACATCAGCCCGCTAATATAAAGCCCATTAGGTTTCAAACCTCACCATCTTCATAAAACCCTAAAAATCCCATTTTTCCACCTGCGCCTCCCACTCTCAACAACGAAACCCAAAACTCAACAACAACCATGCCGCCGAAGTTGGACCCAAGCCAGATCGTCGACGTCTACGTCCGCGTAACGGGAGGAGAAGTCGGAGCCGCGAGTTCCCTCGCTCCCAAAATCGGTCCCCTCGGTCTCGCCCCCAAGAAGATCGGAGAAGACATCGCCAAGGAAACCGCCAAGGAGTGGAAAGGCCTCCGCGTCACCGTCAAGCTCACCGTTCAGAATCGTCAGGCGAAAGTCACGGTGGTTCCGTCCGCGGCGGCTCTGGTGATCAAGGCGTTGAAGGAGCCGGAGAGGGATAGGAAGAAGGTGAAGAACATTAAGCATAATGGGAACATATCGTTTGATGATGTGATTGAGATCGCGAGGATCATGAAGCCGAGGTCGATTGCGAAGGAGTTGAGTGGGACTGTGAGGGAGATTTTGGGGACGTGTGTGTCTGTTGGGTGTACTGTTGATGGGAAGGATCCTAAGGATCTTCAGGGGGAGATTCAGGAGGGTGAGATTGAGATTCCTGAGAATTAAGGGAAGGGAAAAGGTTTTATGTTTTAGTTTTTTGGGTTGTTGTTGTTGCGTTTTGTTGTCTTTCTTTAAGGATATTTTGTTGGTTTAATTTAAGGACTTGAGGTTTCATTTGATGTTCTATGGTATTGGTTTCTACAAAGGTTGGAGCTTTGATTTGTTTGTGTTGTGATTGTTTCTTGAATATCGTTTTTTTGCTTATTGATAGTAGAAAGATGGGCATTTTCAGGCTATATGTGATTTGTTGACTGGTTCTTTCTCACTGCATAGGTATAATGATAAGTTTTCTAGGCTGGTTCTTGTTCATCTTATAACTCTTGCCTATTCATCATGATTATTATCAAGGTTTATGTTAGTTTACTTCTGCTTAAATCGTGACTATGTCAATGTTAAGTGAAGATTTTGCATGAATTGTGGATAACGTGGTCATTTGATTTCATGGAAAGAGTTTTTGGCTGAATTTATATTGGTCACCATTTCTGAAAATACCATTCTTCTGTCAACAAAAAAAAATTTCTTGCGAGTTCTTGTCTATTTGTTAGAGAATGCTTTCTGTGTTATGGAATAGTGTTTAAAATGTCTTTAGGTCCTCCATACTGTTGGTGTTTTTGTTTTTTCGTTTTTTCAACGGGCGCAAGTGTAGATTAATCATATGCTCTTTCAAAGTCAGATTCAATCGTCGAAAGTCGAAACATTTAATCTCCGAGAACAAGATTAGGTTTTTCGGTCTTTTAAGACGATTGAATCAAAAGATGAGATTGGAAAATGTTCATAATCTAAGTTAAATAGTGGAACAGATGATTGTTAAGTTGTTTCTTCAAGCAATATCTTGTTCAATATTACTAGAAAACTTCGAGCTGAAATGTTTCTTCAAGCAATATCTTGTGAGTTGTGACAACCAACTTTGCTTGCTCTCATACTTGTGGCCTTTAAGTAGAACACTCAAATCACTTAGTAGATGTTAACCGGTCTCCAATAAAAATCTTCTCTTCAGATCACGTCTCTTACCCTCCTAAATTATGATGTCCATATCAATGGCTTGTTGCACACCAAATCAATTTTGGAGTGGAGACAAACCTCTCTCCCATCTGCAGCAAACCGGTGGAGGTCAAATGCCAATGGCTCGAATGATTGTGTTTAGCCGTCTAGCTCTCCCTCTGTTTGTACAGATTCAGCTTCCCAGTGTTCTTGCTTGTGGTAGATATCATGCAGTCATTTAAAGTTACTAATTACATTATGCCAAATGACACTTAATACTCGTTTTTTTCATTCAATCCTTCTGTGTTTAGGTATACGATCAGCATATCTTGGGACTGTATGATGAGTTCAGGTCTTGTGATTAATTGAATAACAGAGCATTAAAACCAGTAGAAACACACAACATAGCAAATTCATTGAAAACACACATACACATAGTTCATAGTGGCGACTGCTTATTTTAGATAGAACCGTAGAAGCGCCGAGTCGCTGGAGCTAACTTCTGCGGCTTTGCTCTTACATATGAGCAAAGATTGTAGCAAACATAGAAAAACAACTGAACATAAACTTATCAAACAACATAGTTTTAGTTTTTTTAAGCTTCATTCATAGCTGAGCTCTTAGTCTCCCCACCATTGATGAACAAAGACGCCACTGTTCCTAAGGCTCTTTATAACACTGGTGCAGTCTCCAGACCCAGTGCAATTAAGAAACAGTTCATCAACCGAACAAATCGCACCAGTCTTTATCAATTCCGACAAAAACTTCAATTCGCTTGTATTCATCTTCAGAACCACGAAATCAGCAAAGCTAACCGTCTCCTTGAACCACGCAAGAAAATCAAAGCTGTCCTCTTCTACAAAGGCTTCTTCTTCTTCCCCCTCTCCATGACTAGCTACTGCTCCTGAGAGTCCCGGATGGTAAACGAAGGTCACACCAGGACTTTTGACATAAGAAGTCAAGATAGACGTATTGTGATGCACAAAATAGCTGTTAAACCCTTTCTTATCAATAGGATACGACGGGAAGAACCAATCCGATCTCGGCGTGAGATGATCCGCTGCTCCAATATCAACATAAACCAGCCTCTTCCTAGACGAAAGATCAATAAACTCAGGCAAGTAATGTATCCTTCTCTCGAAATCCGACCGTTTCTCCTCGAGAAGAGGCTCCAACAACCCAATGTAAGCTCTGTTATTAACTACAGAAACGCAATCATCCGGAAGGTGATGATGATGATGAGTTTGATCCAAACCGAAACTAACTTCTTCACCGTTTCTCCTAAACACAACCAAAACCTGCTCACCAAAGGAACCAACATGAACAACACTCGAGTTCTTGAGCAGTGAAGAAACAGGCGAAACCGATCTAACCAACTCGTTGGAGTCAGACCCAACAAGAAGCATCATAGCTCCGGTTCCACCGGGCTTAAGTACACGCTCGATTTCATAAACAACGGAAGAAACCGTCTCAACAACAACATCGGTAGATAAGACGAAACCGAAAGAAGCGTCTTCGTACTGTAGTAAGTAGTTACCACCATTACTGAACTTCCTGTGTTTGAAAGAGAAAACAGGTGGCGTGTAAGCCACGCGAGCATCGGAGAAGCCTTGTGAGTTCATAGCGAGAAGAGCTGAAACCGATCTCTGGCCAATACAGAGAGTTTTCACATCGGTACGCAGCAAGTTTAAACCTTTGAGCTCTGTGATGACTTGTGTAGTCAAGTTGATGCTTTTCTTGCATTTCTCTGATTCTAAATAGTTCCAGACGGGTTTTAGGAAGGTGTTGGAGAGCAAGTTGTTCCCGGAGAAGAGGAACGGCCCGAGAAATGCGAAGTTCACGGCACAGTCATCAACTTTACGGTGGAGGTGGTGAGTCTCTCCTCCTTGGTAAGCTCCGTTGAGGTTTCGTATGATGGATACGAGAGAGAAAGCGAAGAGGATCACGAGGGCGCGTAGGATCACGCGCCGGCGGAGAGAGGTGGGCATTAGTTTCAGCTTCAGAGGCTCAAGACCCATCGCGAGGAAATTTAAAAAGATCGAGAAAGTTTTGATTTTTAACTCGAAAGAGAGAGAGAGATTTAATTGAAGTAGAATGATTCAATTAGGGAAGAAGAAGATTTTAACGAGTGCAAAACCTGGAGGAGGTATGGTTTCCACCCACGAGGAGAACTATTGTGTTTTGTAATCCAAACCAGACTCTTCTCGGTTCGTGTGTCTGCATCAGATCCATTTTTTTTGAGTTTTACCCAACCATTCGAACTCCTTTGAGATCTGAACTACATAATACGTGTGTGTGATATCTCTTCTCAGCAATGATGATGGTGTTTAAGATTATTTAGGTAGGAAATTTCGAATGCGAGATTTGGGAATTAGGGTTTTGAGATTTGGGAATCTGAGGAGAGAGTTGGAGAAGAGAGATAAGGAACGAGGGATCTGTGATTCGAGTGCAAAGAGATGATGAAGTAATAAAGTGACAACTGGGAAGGGACGAAGAAAGCAAAGAGAGAGAGAGATGATGTGATCATGCCACGTGGTGTGTAACTGAAACTTTTTAATAAGTGTTTCACAAATCCCAATGTACTGATGATTTCAGATTAAGAAAGAGATTACGTCAAAAACATGAAAGTAATCTGTATTAAACCAATTCGATCCGGAAACCAAATTGATTACCGGGTGGACCAAGCATTACAGGCTTCACATGCATGTCCTAATATTAATGAAATGCAATTTGATACCACTGGAAAGTATTCAATAAATAGGTAAGGCATATGGTTCGGAGAGTGAATCCAATCCACCGACACTCAAGATATCGACGTTATATGGTTCTATGAACCCGAGTAATAATTACTGCAAAAAGAAAAATCAAAATAGAATATTTCTTGCAATAATTGATTTTTTTTTGTTACAGCTGTCTTGAATCTTGAGTGAATGAGTGATACCTACAACACATGAAAGCTTAAACCACATTGTCACAACTAATTCTCACGTAATCCTTTTACAATCTTTCCGCTTTTACAAGATGTAACATGGAAAGTGGAAAACCGTTTTAACCACACAATGTGTGGTGGAGTAATAAGGTTTTCAAACGCCTACTTATACTTTTGAGAGTTGAGAAAAATATTAGATGATGTGTTAATAGTGTTATGGTAATTTATCAAACAAGTACGTGTCTCACTTATTTGGTCACATCAAAAGCACAAAAGTATGATCACAACAGGTGTGATAAGGTAAGAGACAAAGCAATGAATATTCCAAAAAACTGGTGGGTGAGTGAGTCTTCCCTCGACTTATCTCTTGTCGGTCGTGTCACTGGTTCTCTTTTTTCCCTTTCCAACGTCTGTTGTTAATGGTGCATTTTCAATACCGTTTACTCAGAATTGTTGAAATAGTGTATCGTTTTAAGTTAGAAGAAGTATAATTTAAAGTTACAAACAGTTATAACAAAAACAATGATACTTTTACAGATTTTTAGCTAAAAATATAGTATCATATATATAGGAAATATGAATTGATAAGGACTTCAGAAATTAATAATCTATACTATATAAAAGTTGAGGCTATAAGCCATTGAGGACGTCCACGTAGGATTTAAGTCCTCCAATCGTATAATGACACATCATTATATTAGTTTATTATTTTTATAAAATGTCATTGTTTCCAAATTACATTAAAAACGAAATTAATATTCCATATATAACTTAGCTAACAAAATAAATATTAACATTTTACA